ATTAGTACGAATTTTCAAAATTCTCTACATACCATAATCCTACACCCTAACAGTGATCCTGACTCCAAATTGCATTGTTCCAGCTCCATCGGTTCAGCCAAATCCAAATTGTACGAATTATAGTACGCTTTAGTACTTTTCGTACACATAAGTAAAAAAATTCCAAAACTACGTATGTATCCCAATCCTATACTTCGTCGGAAATGTTAGTTTAAAATTTCAGGATTCCAACTCGATTTGTACCTCCAAATTAAATTTGTACCGAATATAGTACCATATAGTACTGTTCGTATACAAAAGTACACACTTCCAAAGCCAGCTCCTTATATCCTTTTAAAACTAATTAATTTTGTTAATTATTAATTTTATAAAAGTTTTAATATATCTACACACATAAAAACTACAAATTCTCTCCTAACATATAGGGAAAATTTCATGCCAATACATGCATTCATTACTGAGATATAACCATTTGAAGTTGATGTTGTGCCAAAATATAGCTGCTAGCGATTCTATCTGCCAAGAGGTGGTATTTTATCCTTCAAAGTCGAAGTTATATTAAATTACAACCACTTTGATTGGAAAATCGGTGAATGGGAACAGCATTTTACCAATTCAATATGGTGTCAAATTGCTAAACTTGCACCACCACAGCACGGTTTTTTTATTTCCTACAAATTTCCTCAATAGCCCTATTTTTTCTCAAAATGAATTATTTTCCAATGACAACAAACATTCAACAACAATCTAATATCGAAATTTTCTCAAATACACCAATTTCCAGTCATTTCCTAGTTCTCCGCGGTGAAAATACATGTTTACACATACAAACTACACAATCTCCCCTAACCAAGGGTAAAAGTTTTATGTCGATACGTTCATTCATTATTGAGTTATAGTCATTTAAAGTTAAGCTTGTGTCAAAATATAGCGGCTACACGATTCTGTTGGCCTGGTATCTCAAATTGGAAAAATGGTTGAAATTGGCATTTTCACAAAAGCGAAAAAGTACAACAAAACAGCAGCAGCATCATTGCCACATTGTTCGTTTTTTCTTTGATTTCATGGTTGGTTTACAAATTCTGAGCATACTTTCAGGCGCATCATTTAAAATGACATTTATGTGAGAGTTATATGGCTCGTGATTTTGATGTAACGCCTAAAAGTATGCTCAGAATTTATAAACTCACATTAAAATACTATGGTAGCGATCTGGTAACAAACATTTCAGTATTTTATGTTTTTTTGCCCATGTGCGATTTCTTCATTTTTCCAATTTGAGGTACCAGGCCAACAGAATCGTGTAGCCGCTATATTTTGACACAAGACGAACTTTAAATGGCTATAACTCTGTAATGAAAGTACATATAGACATAAAACTTTTACCGTTGGTTAGGGGAGATTGATTGTAGTTTGTATGTGTATCGATAAACACATATTTTCACCGCGGAAAACTAGGGAAATCGTGATAATTTGCAAAAACGTTAAATTAGCTTTGAATGACTGGAAATTGGTGTATTTGAGAAAATTTTGATATTAGATTGTTACTGAATGTTTGTCGGCATTGGAAAATAATTCATTTTGAGAAAAAAAATAGGGCTATAAGGAAATTTGTAGGAAATAAAGAAAACCTGTTGTAGGGGGAAGTTTAGCAATTTGACACCATATTGAATTGGTAAAATGCTGTTCCCATTCACCGATTTTCCAATCAAAGTGGTTGTAATTTAATATTACTTCGACTTTGAAGGATAAAATACCACCTCTTGGCAGATAGAATCGCTAGCAGCTATATTTTGGACATAACATCAATTTCAAATGGTTATAGCTCAGCAATGAATACATGTATTGATGTGAAACTTCCACCATTGGTAAGGGGAGAACTTGTAGTTTTTATAATAAAACGATTGGGTTATATGTCGTTAATTACGAACGTGCTAATTTTTTGGTCCCAAGCGAATAATCTTGTAATCTTTATATAAGGAAATTAGAAGTAGATCTATGCCGACTATGTTTCCAAGGAAATTTGGAATCCATAGGCTACAACAAATTGTAAATTACATTCACTGTTAAAGACAAATTTTTGTAAAATTAAAAAAAAAATAAAAAGTGGGCTATAAAAAAGAGGACTTATGGCCGCTACCTTAGGCTTAAGTACAGAATATTTAATGTAATTCACGGAAAACCCTATAAAATGGACTTACAAAATTGTCCACCAATACAATTTTTTGATTCAAATGTTTCGTAAAGGTCAACCCTCTCTGATCCTCTTTCCACCAACCTAATCTTTTTACCAAGGATAGAGATGGAAAACTTAGATTTGGAATGAAAATTACGGAATTTACGTAGTCTTGGAATGCATGCCCAATGATTGGAACCTCAGCATCCTGTGTCCCGTGCACAAAAAAGGAGACAAGACGATATGTGCCAACTATAGAGGAATAAGTCTCCTTCCCATCACATATAAAGTGGTATCCAGCGTGCTGTGTGAACGACTGAAGCCAATTACCAATGATATAATTGGACCATACCAATGCGGCTTCAGACCTGGCAAATCCACCATTGACCAGATTTTCACTTTACAAGACGCTGATACTACCCGTGCTATTATATGCATCAGAAGCATGGGTACTTGCGCAAGCATATGAGGCAGCTCTTGGGGTTTTGAAAGAAAAATTCTCCGAAAGATCTATGGACCGATCAGCGTCGACGGTGAACATCGGCGTCGAATGAACCACGAGCTTTACAATGTATACGCGGACATCGACATAGTCAGTAGTATTGTGCTGCACCGACTACGATGGCTAGGCCAAGTTGTACGAATGAATGAGAATGCCACGAATTAGATGGAAGGACCAAGTAGAAAACAACATCTTGGAACATGGTCTTTCAAATTGGTGGAGATGCGCACAAGACCGACGCGCTTGGAAATGTTTTTTAAGCTCGGTTTATGGAACAAAAGTACGTAGTCTTGGAATTTTATACTTATGGTACTAAATATGGTACAATTAGTTTTGTAGGAGCGGGAATCCTAAAATTTGGAATTAAAATTAATGTTGTTGGAGTGTAGGAAACATGAGAGACTTAGGGTTATTATTGGAGTGCATGATTGACGTAGTTATGGAAATTTAGTACAATTTGGATTTTGGTGAACGGGTAGAACTCGAACTGAGAGTTGCAACTTATGTTACTGTGGAGGGTGTGGGAAATGTACAGAATTGTAACAAATCTGGTACAATTTAGTGAACAGACAGAGCTGGAATTCTTACATTTGGACTTACGATTACTATTTGAAAGCAGGATTGAGGTATATTTGGAAATTTGTACGAAAAGTACTAAATTTGGTAGAATTTGTACTTTGGTGGAATTAAGATTGCTGTTAGAGTGTAGGATTGATGTAGTTTTAGAAATTCTTACTTATGAGTATGAAAAATACTAGCTTTGGAAACATTTTGGATTTGGTTGAATCCTGAGATTTGGAATTTAGATTATTGTTGAAGTGTAGTACATATTGAGCTATGAAAAAAAAACTTTGGAGACTCGAATTTATGTTTCCGAATAGGAAATAGAATAGAAATTGCATTATGTTTAGTTAACGAGAGATCTGGAAACATAAAGTTTAGAATGTGGTTACCGACGGAAAGTTAGAAAGAAGTACCAAAGGGTTTTTGTTACTAACTGGTACTGAATTTAGTGGTGGTGGTGATGATGGTATGGAGGTAACTTTGAAAATGTAAATGTGGAACCTGTACGTATTTGCTAAATTATATAATTGGAATTCTGATCTATTTTTAATCTGTGTAATGGAAATAAGAAAGAGATTTCGGAAAATAATGCTTATGCATGTGCAGAGTACCAAATGGTAATGGTAAATTTTATATTAAATGTAGGAATATAGATGGCATTCGGAACAATAGTACACCAAATGTCGTATATAACCTATCATATTTATGATGATGACCTTATCTCTGAAAAAGTGTACAATGAATAGGAAATGTGTATGTATCGAAAATATGAATTAGTAATGGTCTCCAATAATAAAATCAAAAAATACGACTTCAACCAAACAAAATTCTAAAAACTAAATTATTAAATAAAAAATAAAAACAAAATAATTTTTAAATCTTAAGAAATACATTTTCTTTTTTTAATTTCATATAAATGTTATACAATTTTCTTCAAGATAAGAAATTAATAATAATTGTACATATAGAAATACATGTGTATAAATTTCTTATTTCTGTTTTAAGGGGGGGAACTACAGTTTTAACACATTTGTTGATGGGTTTTTTGTTTTGTATGATAAATTTACAAAATACATAGCAAACAAATGAAAAAGAATGCACATCATTTGCGAGAGAAAAAAATAAATGAATTGAAAAAAAACTATATTTTTATAGCTTAAAATTAAAACACAAAAACATTTTTGAAATATAAAAAAATTATGATGAATTAATGAATGCTTTGGGATGTGGTGGAGGAGATGGAGGCGGGTTGTGATTAGTGTTATCATACACAAATAATACCTGGAGGAAGGTTGATGAATGTGTTTTTTTTTAATGATGCTACAAAATGAATCTAGAAATTTTAATTATGGAGAAATAAACGATTTTTGTATGAACGTATGCATGCATCAATTATGTAGACGTGTGTGTGTGTAAATGTAATGCATGTATTGTATATGTATAAATAGAACATTTGTTTTCTTGTTGTTGTTTTGTTTTTTTTTTTATATTTAAAAAATAATTTGTAAATATTATTAATAATTCATTATTAATATTTTTTATCTTTTTTCGTTTGTTTGTTGGTTTTTTCTTCTTTCTATATTTTGTTTTTGTTTTTTTCTTATTGTATAATTTTTTTATGTTTTTAGAAAAATAAAGCCTATGGATTATTTGTTTTTCTTATTTTCATCTTCAACTTCTTCATGTTTGTTTTTGCAAATGTTTGCTTTAAATATTTTCTCCTTTTCTCTGTTCCTGTGTTTTTTGTTTAATATTTAATAATAATAATATATATTTATATAATACACATCTTTAATCTAAATTATCTTGAAAAATTAATTTAATATAACCCGAATTGGCGTCTAATGGCGTCGCACAGAATGGACAAACAGGTTGAAAAGCATTTGTACCATGTGGTATATCCACATTGACCCAATATCTGAAAAGAAGAATAATAATGAAATTAATATTTGTTTTGTTCTAAAATTGGATTTTAGACTTACTTAACAGTTTTCTCAGTCGCCATGTGACCACATGGATTAAATGCAAATGTTGGCGGGCCAATATCTACATAGAATGCCGGTTCGAGACCCATACACAATGTCACAACAGGTCCTACTTCTAAACACATTGGACAGCGTCGGGCACCGGTGCTTTTATCCTGACCCCAATCGTGATGGCCTATAATGGGAGATAGAATTGTATATTATTAATAAGCGAAAGAAAAAAAGAAATATATTTTTAAAGTAAAAAACAATAAATATAAATAAATTTTTTGGTTGTTTGGTTCAGTGAGAACCAAAAATACCAAACCGAACCAAATTCGGTTGTAAAACGTGCCAAATTTACATTACCCCTAGGGTAATGGCAATGATTACTAATTTTTTATACACTCCACCTCGTTAAACCCCGGACTGTTTCTAATCTGTATATTTGATACTATTCGGACCATACTGTCATTAGGTTTCTAAAAATTTTATAGCTTATATGTACGTATATATATTTGTATATATATTTGAAATTTGATGTAGAACAATTAATAAATTGACAACATTCTTTTTTTGGAGACAATGGGGTAGTGTCCATTTTATTTGGAAAAAGTGTGAAATTGGATGAAAATAGAAAAGTTGCTGTATGTACCAAAAATGGAAATCATTTTTACTAATAAATATCGTGTTTGCAAAAATTTTTTCTGTTGTAACTAATAGTGCAATCCGATGTAGAATAATTTTGTCTGTGACGAAAATCTCCTAAGATATAGTCTTATTGGAGATTTTGACATATTTCAGCAAGGTCTTAAATTAACACTTGCTGAAGTCAACAAAGAATTTGTTCCCAATATTGTTAATTTTATATTGTAGATTTCTAAAAAAAATACTATTGGATTTAAATATTTAGTTTGTTTTGTGACTTATAGTGAGATTTGATGTAGAATAATTTATTATTTTACACTACGCGCGACAAATGTAGTTTCACGTTACTTTCATACACTTTATTTAAAAAAAAGGACTGGGAAATTTTCTATAAAAAAATGCTAAAAAGTTTGAATTTCTCTTGTTCAGTGACTTATACTAAACGTTGATGGAGAATATTTGTATATATTAGACAAAAATATTTCTCCTATTTATATCAGTAATATTGCCAAAGACATTATATATCTAAAATGCAATGATTTCGAGAAATCCTAATTCGAATATTTCCAAATCTCTTGGAATAGGGGAATATTGGAAAATGGAAAATAAAATTATAAATTCAGGGCTCACATATAAATATTACAAATGGTCAAGGTTTGAACCGAAAGGCAACAGAGATCGGTACCCTAACGAAATATTTGTGTAGAATACAAATATCACCGTTAAAGGTGTTCATATTCCAGACAAGTTAAACCATTTCGAAACATTTTATGATCTATAATAAGATGATCGTCTAAAGACACTGTCTGATCGGTCTATAAAATTATTCTGATCTATAATACTCTGGTCTATACTTCTTTACACATTAAGGGAAACATTTAATTTATTCCACAAAGACTCCTCCGGGTCATTTATAAGGTTTGCCTTCAAATTAAATTAAAATTAAATTTTTATTTTCATCAAAAATACCTGACCAAAAAAGCCCAACAAAAAGCATCAATGATTATTAAAATAAAAACTCTTTGTTTTAAACTAAACTAAACAAACATAGTCTAAAAGAAAACATTTTTAATAGTCTTACAATATTCCCTACAAAAAAACTATGTAGTATATCAAAATTTGTATTTGATAGACAAACAAATCAGTACCATTGCGACTAAAGACACCGTCTATAAGACTAACTTTGGTTGCCGATTATCTAAAAGAACTCTCTTCTGGTCGTTCAGACTATAGAGATACCCTTTACGGCTGTCAATAAAAACTAAATTTACCTCTTCAAAAAATCCGTCGTAATTTATACATCGTCTAAACTATTCTTGTCGTCTTTGGATAATACCTTCTGATGGTCTATAAAAATACCTAGCAAAATACTGAAAACTTTCCCTCTACAATTCACATACGCCAAGTCGTCTATACACCTACATTTCCTCCAGCTAATCTATAATGGCTCCTTTTGTTTGTCTAAATACTCCCTTTAGCTCGCATACAATGTCTCTATTCAGTGCATCGTTTAGTTTGTCATGGGAAATAATCCCTATAAACATTTCTTACCAAATCGGTATAATAATTTCTATCTTCAACTATTCTACAAAGAATATCTTCAGCAAGCCTATAATGATTATCTTTACTTTGCAAAAAATGTCTCCGTTCAGACCACACATAACAGTTTTCCTTCAAGTCGTCTATAAAAATCAACCTAGGTCGTTTGATTATACTACCTTCGTACGTAAAGACTCCCATCAGCAGGCTATAAAAGACTCATTTCAAGATTGTCTATAAAGACTCCTTCAACTGGTATATAAACAGAACCTTCACATCACGCGTATTTAATCAACTTCTATAAAGAAAATTGTCAACTCTAGTTCACAAATCGAAACTCCTTTCTGCTCGTCTATTAAGAATCGCTTCAGGTATCTTATAAATAGTTTATTTTTCCTATAACGGATCCTTTAGATCGTTTATAAGCAAACCATTCACATCAAGTCTATAAATACTGCCTTGAAATCTTCTGTAAAAACTGTATTTATATTTTCCATTTAAAGTCCCCTCAGCTCGGCAATAAAGAATGTATCTAGTTCGCCTATAAAGAATTCATCATTATTTGCATATAAATAGTCCTTTCAGACCACCAATAAAACCTTTCGCCATTTCGTCCACAAAGACTTCCTTATGTCATATAATGGCTGGATTCGGCTTGCCTATAAATATAATCGTCCACTTGCCTGTAAGAACTTCTTCCGTATAAAATGATTTATATATGTTCGCTTATAAACATATTCAGTCCCTCTGGATGTTTTTTTAAATCCTATCCTATACTCCTTTCACGTCATCTGTTCATAATTGGTATTAAGTCCCTCTTCAGGGCGCCTTCAAGAAATCATCTATTAAAAGAACATTTTTGGCCGTCCTAATTTTCTACAAAGCCTACTTTTAATTTGAATACATGGACAATCGGGATTATATTGGATTCTTATAAAGACTGCTACTTATTTCCACAATATGATATGATATACTTTATCTTTCATAAATATTAACATCTAATATTCAATTAATACCCTTCTGGTAGAAAATGTTTTTCAGATTTTCTATTTTGATCAGTTATATACAAAGCTCTAATTTTGTAAATACTCTATAATACATTATTTCGATATTCAAGAAAAACTATTTTTATTTTAAAATAATGCATCCCTTCTATCGGTCAATGAAGACACCATTCTGATTGTCTATAAAGGCTCCACCACCTCTTCGCCTAAAACGAGCTTTTGGGTTATGTATAAGTCTACCTCATGTGCGTATATAAAACTGCCTATTTACAATCATAATTGGGTATTTCTGTAGACCATCTTGAGAGCAGATATAATGACGTAGAGATGATCCTCTATGAAAGCTTATATCTGCAAAGATTTAATGTATATTTTCAAGCCAGTTTTTGAGTATTTAAACAAACTTATTCATGTCCATATTTGATACTTCAAAGACTCACATAAGTGCTTCTAATAGTGAATAAGACTATATAATGTCATCCTTCTTGTTATCTAGCAAGGATCCAATTTTGTACTCTATCAATATTCCACCCAGAGCTTCTATTAAATCTGACATCAGTATTTCTATAGGACATATTTAAATAAACTTCTCCATATATGCCGTCTATATTTGTCTTTCTCTAAACTTCCTAACACAATCAAATGCAATTAAATTAATCCTTTTTATACAATTAAACTTTACCTTGAACATGACCACAATTTAAGTACACATAAGGCTGATTAATTTGATCACCAATATTCACTTTACGGGGTATAACTAAGGTATTAAGGCCAACAGGACATTGAGGACGACCAGCATTGACTTCGTCAATTAATTTTTCCAAATCGCGTTTTGTCTGAAAGCAAGGCAATAAAAACAAAAACTTAAATTAAAAAAGAAGAGATAACAAAAAAGGCAAACTCGCATACCGGTGAATGCTGTAGTCCTTCTGCGGAACGCCACAGTAGTGTGGCACCACATAGATCAATTAGAGTGCCATCTTGCAAGACATTTGATTCATCATAAATCTAAAACAAAGGACGAAAATAATTAATGAGTTTAAAAGGGGAATTAAAAAAGAGTCGGTCGGTACCGGTTGTCCTTTCTGTTGGGCTGAGCGAGATTCACGCAGACTAAAGACATCACCACCCACCGAACATTCACGCCAAATGCCGCATTTGGCATTGCCGCCACAAAACTGACCCCGTGGATGCATAATTAAAACACCGTTTGTTGTAAGGCCATCGATTTCCACATTATCCTGCCATTTGGTAGCTTTTTCCTGTAAAGGGGAAAAATGAGAAATAAATTATCAACTGAAAATGTAAATAGTTTAGATGTCCATCAGGTTAAAGAGGGAATTATTTTGTTTGGTCAGCAGTTCATATTTCATGACTCTTTGTGATCCATTCGGTTTATACAAATTCGTTGACCATAAGCTCGTCTATGAAGACACCTATGGCATATTAGGACTGCGGAGTCTTTAATTCGACAAAACAGGGGTCAGACCTAGCTCGTCTATAATCTGAGGCCAAACAAGACAGAAGCAAACGAGTTTTATACAAAGCGAGGTGGGACCATGTATTAATTGAAGGGAATCTCAATGGAAGCTTCCTTCTCTATAGAGGGATCTGAACTGAATAATCAAAATTTTATAGTGACGAGCTGAAGGTCCGTAGCTTCATTTTCTGGAGCTCCCTTCATCTAATCTATAGACTCAATTTAATTCTTCTATAGATATTACCTTAAGTTTGTCCATAGAGAGATTCCCTTCAGTTCGTCTGTAAAGACTTCTTGCAGTTCGCCTACAGAGATCCGCTTCAGTTCGTCTACAGAGATCCGCTTCAGCTCGTCTATAGAGACTCCCTTCAGCTCGTCTATAGAGACTCCCTGCTTCAGCTCGTCTATAGAGACTCCCTTCAGCTCGTCTATAGAGACTCCATTCAGCTCGTCTATAGAGACTCCCTTCAGCTCGTCTATAGAGACTCCCTTCAGCTCGTCTTTAGAGACTCCCTTCAGCTCGTCTATAGAGACTCCCTTCAGCTCGTCTATAGAGACTCCCTTCAGCTCGTCTATAGAGACTCCCTTCAGCTCGTCTATAGAGACTCCCTTCAGCTCGTCTATAGAGACTCCCTTCAGCTCGTCTGTAGAGACTCCCTTCAGCTCGTCTGTAGAGACTCCCTTCAGCTCGTCTGTAGAGACTCCCTTCAGCTCGTCTGTAGAGACTCAATGCTTCATCTCGTCTATAGAGACTCAATGCTTCATCTCGTCTATAGAGACTCCCTGCTTCAGCTCGTCTATAGAGACTCCCTGCTTCAGCTCGTCTATAGAGACTCCCTGCTTCAGCTCGTCTATAGAGACTCCCTGCTTCAGCTCGTCTATAGAGACTCCCTGCTTCAGCTCGTCTAAAGAGACTCCCTGCTTCAGCTCGTCTTTAGAGACTCCCTGCTTCAGCTCGTCTATTGAGACTTCCTTCAGCTCGTCTATGTCCCTTCTCATTTTCCTTCTATCCATCTTTGAATTCTTCTTCCGAAATCCCATACCCAGTAAAGAAAGATAAAAAGGATTGTGGTATTAGGCAAAAGATTGATTTTTAGAGATTACAAGTGACTAGTGAATAGCAAACAACCAATCACAACAACAAAAACTACAACAATAATTCAATGTACAACAAAACGCCCATGGTATAAGTTAGGAAGCCAGTGCAGCTAGGCGTAGTACCTACACCTCGATATCACCAACCAACCATTCCTTTGAACAAATTATGAATACCGTAACAATGACCCACTTTTGGCATTATGGGCCAGGCCACAACAACAACAACAACAAAAAGATATACTACCATGCCATCAAACATTTATCTATTGCTATTATTGTTGTAGTTGCTGGTGTTGGATTTGCCATTCATGAACAACAACAAAAACGCAAAGTCAAAGCAATTGAGTGGCACTCATAGTACTCCTCGTCGTCGTCATCATCATCGTAGTCATAGTCATAGCCACCACCATCATCATCACCATACCACACAAAATACCACAGAGCAACCACAACAGAGTTCAAGCCGCACATTCATTCAGACACACACACAAACTCTCAGTTTCGAGCTTTCCTCTGGCTCCTCATTCTTGGCTTCTTCAACCACTCAAAAGTTTAAACAATTTATTGATTAAATTTTAATGATATACTAGGGAGGCGGCTATACCAAACAAATGTCTAAAGCAAGAACAAACTGTGGGCTGGAATGGTCGGATGTATGGATGGTTTGCTGGTTGGTTGTGTTGTTTGGTTGCTTGGCTGACTATCTCTTCTATAGGTTTGCCTTTTAGGCTCTGCTTGTTTCTTGGAGTCACAACGAGAGGGAGAGGAGAGTGAGTCCGAGGAGGCGCAGAAGTTATTTCACCGGTCCGCTTACATTACATACTTACACCCAAGAAAATATTCCTACTCGAATCGAAGCCGGCTGCAAATATTCTCGCTTTTGAGGGTTCACTTCGATTGACCAGAATGCGACATGCAAAACGTGATATTGTACTCTGCATTACTTTTGCATCTTTCTTGTCACCGGGCAGTGTGTCCATAACCACAAAATCTATGGGTGATTCTGAAGAGCGGCCAACCTGTAATAAAACAGAAAAGGAGATGAAGAAGAATTAGCAAAAAATACCGGAAATGTAAGACCTGCTGGAAAAGTATTTATCAATGAAACAGGTTCTGCTTTTTTTTCATAACCATGAGTAAAATAGAATTTTATTATTAGAGGAGAGAAGCAAATAATTTTGTTGGTTGGTGGGCTCCAGAGCGGAATGTCAATGGAACTTGAAATTGGTTTGCATTGTAAAGCATAGCTGCGGCAAATGTAAGTCAAAGTGTGGTAGGAAACATAACAAGGTAGGTGGTGATGGATGCATGTTTGTGTGTGTGTGTTTTGGTTGGTTTGTTTGCATTTCTAGACCGGAAACGTTTAACTGGGTCTTCTATTCTAAGCGAAGAGACGACAGACACATCAGTAATCAGTGGAGTTATACAACAAGTTGCAAATGAAGCAGAACTAGTTGCAATTATAAAACTATTATGTAATTACTTTAAACAGAAATGTGAATAAACCACAAGTTCAGAAACAATTTCTAACTGATGTGAGGCTTTATAGGCGAGGAAAGCATAAGAGAAGACAAGCCCAAAGAAGTATTTTTAGACGAGCTGAAGGGAGTCTTTATAGAAGAGCTGAATGGAGTCTCTATAGACTAGCTGAAGTGAGTCTCTATAGACGAGCTGAAGAGAGTCTCTATAGACGAGCTGAAGGGAGTCTCTATAGACGAGCTGAAGGGAGTCTCTATAGACGAGCTGAAGGGAGTCTCTATAGACGAGCTGAAGGGAGTCTCTATAGACGAGCTGAAGGGAGTCTCTATAGACGAGCTGAAGGGAGTCTCTATAGACTGACGGGGGCGAGCAGAAGAGAGTCCTTACGAGCTGAAGGGAGTCTTTATAGAAGAGCTGAAGGGGGTCTTTATAGAGGAGCTGAAGGAAGTATTTATAGTCGCGCTAAACCTTGACATTATAGACGAGCTAAAGGGAGTTATTAAAGTTCGGTTGAATGGAGCCCTTATAGGCGAGCGGAATAGAGCCTCTATAGGCCAGAGAGTCGTTATAGACGACCTGAAATCTAAGGCTTTGAGGTTTGCGATATTTTAAAATATATTTTTTTTAAAAATCTTCACCTTTTCTAGATCTTTGAAAATATTTTTAAAAATCTAGACCCTCGAAAAATATTTAAAAAAATCCATATCTTCGAAAAAAAATTTAAAAAATCTAGATCTTCGAAAAATATTTTTAAAAATTCAGGTTTTCGAACAATTTTTTTAATTTCTGGGAGGACTGCCAAGGCCTGGGGTTTTTAAAAATATTTTTCGAGTTCTGTCCTGGGCCTGGGTTTTATACAAATATTTTTGGCGCGGATTTAAAAAAAATTTCTAGAGGATTTCTATGGATTTAAAAAAAATGTTCGTAGACCTCTCAAAAATATTTGTAAAACTCCCAGGCCCAGGACAGGCCTCTAAAAAATATTTGTAACAAACCCAGGCCCAGTACAGAACTCTCAAAAATATTTTTAACCAATGAGCGGAGCAGTATAGTCGGCCGGGGCCGACCATATGATACCCTACACAACCTCCATGAAAATTTAACTTTCTGCGGTTCTATATTCTGAGCATGGACAATATTTTGCGATATTTGCACCCGCTTGACCGGCCAGAGGTCAACAAATATTACTACTATTCAGTACAGCCCTTCTAATTACTTGTACCGGATCCCGTTGACCGTGGGTTGTGTTGTGATGTTCGGCTTTCAATTGTGGTCTATAGATCGACTATAATTGATCGACATAAAAAAATTCAGTTTTCGGTCCACTTCATCCCAATACTATTATCTGATCATCAGCGAAAATTATAGGCGCTGTCCTCAACAATAACTGGAACCTCACAGAACATTTCAAAGCGATCAGCGCTATATTTCCGTAGTGTGGTAATGGATTACTAAATAATATATGAACACGTATATACCTGTAAATATTTAAGTGTAGCTCCCACCAGGGTCCATTTGACCCGCTAAATATTAACCGATCTTTATCAAAGCATGCATGCTCATTCTTTGCCCCGACCGTCTTCTCCATGTAAATATTCCCGATGTTCGGGCCATAATTGCGGCCTTTGGAGCGATCAGAAAATCAAATAAAACATAAATAAAGTTTTCGGTCCATTTCATAAATATTAAACGATCTTTACCAAAAACAATAGGGGTCTTCATTGGTCAGAACACATCCTACATGCAAAATTTCATGGAGATTGATCCATAACTGTGGCCTGTAGACGGGCAGACAGACAGACGGACGGATACACATATCTAGATCGACTCAGCTAGTCGAGATATGACCATCGCTATACTTAAAATAGATCTAGGACCAATATTTGGCGGCGTTACAAACTCTTGGGGCTGCACAAAGCTATAATACCCTGACAACATAGTTGTGTAGGGTATAAAAATTCACGCCTTGGTAAGATCTCGAAAGGAATTTTTAAAAAATCCCACCACCTTTGAGGTGTATTGTCACTGTGTACCCTATGGTCATCCTTCCTAAGTCTCATTTAATATCCATTAATAAATTGTGTTCTTCATATGAGACACACAACTGTCATGTGTCATCATTTTGACATTTGTCATTCTACTGCTACTCTAGTAAAAACTAATATTCTTGAGTAGATTATGAGATACAAACAAACACACATACATAGACTTCCCAGCCACCCCACATTGACGGTATGCGTGGTATTATCCCATTATCAATTTTTTTCTTCTTATAGCTTTGCTCACCTGAAACATATCCGTTTCCGTATCCTCTTTGTATTCGACTATGACAGCTTGATTGCGAGATAATGTGTACGATATTGAATGTTGATTGGCATCGAGTATGGCTTTTGATGTTTGTGGCGATTGGACAATGTAGTGTTTGGAACGTTTGACACCACTGGGTTCACTGCGTTTGTACAGGACAAACTTGGAACGTCTTCGGCCGCGATCGCCCTGTGGCAAATAACCATTGTAGCTGGAATTAGAGAACAATAAGAAGAAGAAGAATAAGTATTAAATATTATGAAAAAATAGAAAAAAAAAAAACAAAAGATTCGCATTACAAAATAGGCTGTGAAATAACAACAAGCCAACGACGACGATGTTACGTTTGAATGAAACAAAATGCCAGCGACCAAGAACTAGGTCAAGTTTTTCGGAACAATCGAACATATTTTGAAATTACGATTTACAACACAACAAAAAACTAAACTAAATTTTGAGCTCAACCAGTGAACACCACCAACACACAATTCAGAACCACAACTGTGGTCGTCATCATCATCATCACCACCTCCATTATCGGCACTTCTGTTAATATTCTATATCTAATGGGAGGGCAGGAGGAGGAAGAGTAGTCGGTCGGTGCTGCCATTCATTGTGGCTTCAATTCTATTGTGGAGGCTTCATTGGTTTTGGGTTTTTTGTTCAGAAACAATTGTTGATGTTGTTCGTTAAAAGATTATTCACATCGCTCTTTACAACAACAACCACAGCCAACAACAACATCAATTAAAAGCTTTGTATTTTAATTTAATGCGGCTTTTGTGTTGCTGTTGTTGCTGCTGCAGTTGTTTGCTATGATTTCGATGCCGATGTAATGCAGTTTCACACATTCATTAGTATTTATTTTGGTTTTGTTGTTTTTTTCTTCTTCATTTGCTATAAAATTTCAAAATTAACCTAAAAGCCAAATAATTAACACCTTATTGCAAAAAACAAGAAAACAAAAGCAGAAGAAGAATAACAACAAATGAGGTGGCAAAGAATTTCTTCTTGGAATACGAAGTTTTGAAAATAATTTTAGAAATTGTAAAATACCTACTTCATCAAAATTTTCGGAAAAAAGTTATTAAATATTTTCAGAGGCCTTTGATGGGCCTCTGAAAAAAAAAACAGTACGGAAAGTAGTAAAGTCGGACGGACCGACTATATGATACCCTTCACCACTTCGGGTATATTCAACAGATGAATCCTAACAGACGTCGCATTTTTGAAGGACCATTAACGTGAAAATGGATCCATACACATGTCATTCTCCAACCTATACTATATTTTTCATTTGGTCAGATATAGAGTTGCTACTTACAATGGGACAAAATTATGTAAATCAATTTATAGGAAATATCAATCAGGGTACACGATTTGATAAACATGAGTAGTTTGGTGCACCATTTACTAAAATTGAACAAAAATATATATAAAAGTTATACTAATTTCGGCATGTTTTGACATTTTGGCTATATTTTGAGTTCTTGGTGCATCATTTATTAAATATCGGGAGAAAAGATATATAAGAGCTCTGTCCAAATCTGAACCGATTTCAAAACTTTCCACACGCTAGGTTATACATTTTGTGTCAATCGACCTAACTTTGGGTCTTTGGTGTACCATTTACTTAAAATCGGACGAAACTATATATAGGAGCTATATCTAAATCTGAACCGATATTCAGGAAACTTAACACACATCATTCTGGACCTAATTCAGTACACTATACCAAATTTCGTACAAATCAAAAGATATATAGGAGCTTTGGTGCACCATTTACTTAAAATCGGACGAAACTATATATGGGAGCTATATCTAAGTCTGAACCTATTTTCAGGAAACTTAACACACATCATTCCGGGCCTAATTCAGTACACTATACCAAATTTCGTACAAATCGATGTCTAGGGACTTTGATACACGATTTACATTAAATCGGTCGAAAATATATATGGTAGCTATATCTAATCCGATTTTCAAGAAAATTTACACACATCATTGTAGTCTCTATTCAGTACGATATGCCAAATTTCGTGCAAATCGAGAGATAAATAGGGACTTTGATACACAAATTACATTAAATCGGGCGAAAATATATATGGGAGCTATATCAAAATCTGAACAGATTTTCAGGAAACTTAACACACATCATTCTAGACCTAATTCAGTACACTATACCAAATTTCGTACAAATCGAAAGATATCAAGGGACTTGGTACACCATTTACATTAAATCGGACGGAAATATATATGGGAGCTATATCTTAATCTGGACCGATATGCAGGAAACTTTGCACACATCATTCTAGTCTCAATTCAGTACGATATGCCAAATTTCGTGGAAATCAAAAGATATATAGGGACTTCGGTACATTAAATTTTTCACATTAAATCGGTCCAAAATATATATGGGAGCTATATCTAAATCTGAACCGATTTTCAGGAAACTTAACACACATCATTATGGACCTAATTCAGTACACTATACCAAATTTCGTGCAAATCGAAAGATACATAGGGTCTTGGTACACCATTTACATTAAATCGGACGAAAATATATATGGGAAACGATTTTCAGGAAACTTTTCACACACATCATTATGGACCTAATTCAGTACACTATACCAAATTTCGTACAAATCGAAAGATATATAGGGTCTTGGTACACCATTTACAATAAATCGGTCGAGCTATATCAAAATCTGGACCGATTTTCAGGAAACTTAACACACATCCTTCTAGACCTAATCCAGTACACTATACCAAATTTCGTGGAAATTAAAAGATATAAAGAGACTTTGGTACACCATTTACGTTAAATCGGACGAAAATATATATATGAGAGCTATATCTAAATCTGGACCGATTTTCAGGAAACTTAACACACATCATTCTAGAACAAATTCATTACGCTATGCCTAATTTCGTGGAAATCGTAGGATATATAGGGATTTTGGTGCACCATTTACATAAAATCGGAACTAAAATATATATGGGAGCTATATCTAAAACTGGACCGATTTTCAGGAAACTTAACACACATCATTCTAGACCTAATTTATTACGCTATACCAAATTTCGTGGAAATCAAAAGATATATAGGGGCTTTGGCACACCATTTACATAAAATCGGATGAAAATATATATGGAAGCTATATCTAAATCTGAACCGATTTTTCTCAATTTCAATATGTTTCGTCCTTGTACCAAATATTTTTAAAAAGTGCAAATAATAATTCTAAACGATCCACAAATTGGATAGGTCTTGAAAAAAAAGTATTTTTAAAAATCAACATCTTTGTTCGACTTTTCAAAAATATTTATAAAAACCCACTCTATTAATCGGCCACCGAAAAAAAATTAAAAATCCAAGGCATAGATTAAAAATAAAACATTTCCGTGGCCTTTTGGAGGCTTCTGATTTTTCTAAAGGCTTAGATTATTTAAAAGTATTTTTCTAAAGGCCTATCAAACGCATTGATCCCAAATCCCAGATTTTGTTGGGCCCCGGAAAAAATATTATCAAATAGTCCAGGTTTCTGTGTCTTTTTAAAAGCTTGGATTTCTTTAAAATATATTTCAATAGAGCTATAGATTTTTAAAAAATTTATATTATTCTATACACTTTTTAAGGAGTGGGTTTTTTTAAAAATATTTTTCATAGGCCTACCAAAGGCATGGCTTAAAAAAAACATTTCTGTGGCCTTCCAAGGCTTCTGAATTCTTCTAAAAGGCTTGAATTATTTAAAAATATTTTTCAGAAGTCTATCGAAGACGTAGATTTTTTTAAATATTTTCCGATGCATACCAAAAAACGTGGACTTCGTTGGCCTTTCAAAAAAGCTTGGATTTTTCCGAGGCCCTTCGAAGGCGTGTTTTTTTTAATTATTTTTCAGAGGCCTATCAAAGGCGTCGATTTTTTACAAATTATTCTTCAAAGGCCTATCAAAGGCGTGGATTTTTTAAATGATTTGTTCAGAGCACTAATAAAAATAGTAATCTCAGGCCTTCCTTTTTTTAATTTTCCGAGGTGTTTTTTAATATATTTTTCGGAATTGTTGGATTCAAAGTTTTTATAAAAACAAATTTCTGTAGACCTAGTACAGGCGTGCATGTTAAAAATCCAGACTATAGGGAATGGATTTTTTTAATATTTTCCAGAGGCTCATTAAAGTTGTGACTTTTTATACCCTACACAACTATGTTGTCAGGGTATTATAGCTTTGTGCAGCCCCAAGAGTTTTTAACGCCCTTGGTCGGTCCTAGACCCACCTTTAAGTATACCGATCGTCATATCTCGACTAGCTGAGTCGATCTAGACATGTGTGTCCGTTCGTCCGTCCGTCTGTCCATTATAATTTGTAACCACGATACGGGCAACAGTTATAGACCAATCTTCACGAAATTTTGTATGAAGGATGGGTTCTATCTAATGAAGACCCCTTATTGTTTTTGGACCAAATACTTAATTTTTGTCGGTTTTTCTGGTCGCTCCAGAGGCCGCAATTATCGCCCAAACACATCGAATTTTTACATATAGAAGAGGATTAGGCCAAAGAATAAGCAGGCCTGTATTTATAAAGATCGGTGAATAATTAGCGGGTCAAATTGACTTTTGTGACAAAATTTGTATTCTATGGTGTATATATTTACTCCTGAAGAACATAGATCCCAGAAGTTGATAGTATATCCAAGAGGAGTAGTTGGCCTTTAAATTTATACCAATTATATTGTCGCATGTACTCGGATGCGGATGCAAAATTTGTATTCTTTGGCGTATATATTTACTCCTCAAGGGCATAGACCCCAGAAGTTGATAGTATATCCAAGAGGAGTGGTGGGCCTTTAAATGTATACCAATTATATTGTCGCATGTACTCGGATGCGGGAGTTAAACTTAAATATTTACAGGTGCTTACGTATTCAGATATTATTTAGTAACCCATTACCACACTAGAGGGCGGAAATATAGCGCTGATCTCTTTGAAATTTTCTATGAGGATCCAGATATGATCAAGGACAACGCCTATAATTTTCCGTGATAATCAGATAATATAATTGGGATGAAGTGGGCCGAAAATTTATTTTTTGGTGTCTTTCGAGTCGAACTATAGGCCACAATTGGAAGCCGAACATTACAAAACAACCCACCCATTCCACGATGAAGGGAATCTGGACAAGTAATTAGATGGACTGTACAGTGTA